TCCAGATTTACTCAACAGGGTTATAACAGGTGACGAAACATGGGTATATGGTTATGACGTCGAGACTAAGACTCAATCGTCCCAGTGGAGGCATTCTGGATCACCAAGACCAAAAAAAGCACGCCAAGTTCGATCAAATGTAAAGGTTTTGCTTACAGTTTTCTTTGACTGCAGGGGCGTGGTGCATCATGAGTTCTTGCCACAAGGTAGAACAGTAAATAAGGAATATTATCTGCAAGTTATGCGCAATTTGCGCGAAGCAATCCGCCAGAAACGTCCGAATTTGTGGAAAAATAAAAATTGGCTTTTGCACCACGATAACGCCCCTGCTCACACATCGTTGCTTGTGCGCGAATTTTTGGCTAAAACCAACACAGTAACAATGCCACAGGCACCGTATTCCCCAGATCTGGCCCCCTGTGACTTCTTCTTGTTCCCAAAACTGAAGAGGCCCATGAAAGGACGGCGTTTTGCCACGATTGAGGAGATAAAGACGGCATCAAAGGATGAACTAAACAAGATCACAAAAAATGATTTTTTGAAATGCTTTGAGGATTGGAAAAAGCGTTGGCACAAGTGCATTATATCCGACGGGGATTACTTTGAAGGAGATGAAATAAAAATTGATGAATAAATAAATATTTTTTGAGAAAAATAAAAATTCACCTTACTTTTTGATCACACCTCGTATACTAGTCAAGTGCAAAAAATACGAAAATATAAGACACAAATACCAACTATCCAATTCACTTGATATTCTTCTAAATAATGTCTCTTAATGTACTAAAATCATCAAATGCCTAAATGATATCAAAATCGCAAACACCTTATAATAATGTGCTTACTTTCAAATATGTTTGAATTAAACATGAGCCATATATATATTATGGCTCTAGAGTTAGATTACTACGTAATACCATGTAATCTAGAGTCGCTAATACCCACTAAAGGAGATGCGACAATAAATAAAAAAAAAACCTTTGGCTTAGATCGTTAAACAATGCGTAACGCCGACCCAAACCTTTGGTTGAGAGGGTGATATTCTAAAATTTTTCGCATTGCGGGTGATTACTTGTTAAAAGTGAGAGGGAACAATTAAAAGAAAGTTTTTATGTTTCCACTTGTTTTTTTTTCTGACGAAATCCTTTCACGCTAACACTATTATAAGCTTTTCACACTTATTTGACATCTAAGTCCGGGTGACTATTGGTTGAACCGGCAGGCTTCCTTCCTGGAATGGTGCTGGGGAGCAAACGTGCTTGCAAACAGTGGGTAGGCCCTTTTATACCCTTAGAAATGCGAGAGGGAATTTCCCTTACTAGGTCTCTTGAGAGTGGAAATGCTAATCCGGCCCTTATTTCATCATTGGCCCTCTTTAATTTTCCGGGTCCTAATTGGTCGGAAGGCGTAAATTTTCCGGAGAGGCTAGAGGCGTGGATTCTTTATGTTTGCTCCTTTCTCCCAGAGATGACTACTCAAGTACGTTTTTTCTTGGCTTGTATGCGCTTAATTATTAATAACAAACGTACAAGGCTTTTATTTAGTATCATTGCTTAATTAATTTATTACATTTAAGTTTCAATTTAATTTACAATTTTTTCATCTAATTACTATTATTTTATTTTATTCAATTAGTTTTACAATTTTTATTTAACTACTTTATGTAAAATTTCCCTGCGCTACTTTTGTTTCATCATTATTTCTATTTTCGGTTATTGGAACGGTTTTACGATGAGTACAATTGGCAGAAATATAAATCTTCATTTTACAATTTGATCTTCTATGAAATTGATTTTATTGATTTATCATTAATAACGCTAATATCATTGGGAGCGAAAAATGTATATTTAATTTTTTTTATAATTTTTTTATTCTTTGCAATTCGGTACTTTGAAGACACACGATCAGCAAGGATGTACGGCTGAGAGAGCGCATTCCAATGCGGTTCTATGCTTTTCTTATGGAAGTTTTTTTACATAGAGATAGTGATTCTTTCTATATTTGGGTAATTCTTGGCTATTTCGATTGACTTGTAACCCTTAGGTTACGGATTTTTTTTTCATTTGGCACAATTGTTGTACACATAAAACTGAGATTTTTCCCAAATTTTGGAGACGATACATTAATTATATCAAAAGTTATTAACAATTAAAGAAAAATGATAAAAAATTTTCAAACGGCTATATTTTAAAAACTAATAAAGATATCGAAGTCGGATTTTTTTCAAAATACTTATAATGCCTTAAAATTTCGAAATAATTACAACAATAAACAATAAAAAATTTTTTTCGAAAGTTATTAACTTTTTGTTTAAACAATTGCTAATATCTCAAAAAGTATATTTTTTTTTTGAAAAATTCTTGCTCCTACGTATTCCTGAGGATTTTTGCTATCGAAATCATTCATAAAATTCAAGGGCCCGACATATCGGAAAGCGTAGCCCTAATCAAAAGAAGACGCCTCGGCGTAAGGCTGCGGTAGCGCTTCAGCGGACTCACGGTCGAAAGGTACTTTAGCTTTAATCTAAAAAACTAATAAAGATACCGAATTGGATTTTTCCCAAATTACTTATAATACCTTGAACTTTCGAAATAATTACAACAATAAACAATAAAAAATTTTTTTCGAAAGTTATTAACTTTTTGTTTAAACAATTGCTAATATCTCAAAAAGTATTTTTTTTTTTGAAAAATTCTTGCTCCTATGTATTCCTGAGGATTTTTGCTATCGAAATCATTCATAAAATTCAAGGGCCCGACATATCGAAAAGCGTAGCCCTAATCAAAAGAAGACGCCTCGGCGTAAGGCTGCGGTAGCGCTTCAGCGGACTCACGGTCGAAAGGTACTTTAGCTTTAATCTAAAAAACTAATAAAGATACCGAATCGGATTTTTTCCAAATTACTTATAATACCTTGAACTTTCGAAATAATTACAACAATAAACAATAAAAAAATTTTTTCGAAAGTTATTAACTTTTTGTTTAAACAATTGCTAATATCTCAAAAAGTATATTTTTTTTTTGAAAAATTCTTGCTCCTACGTATTCCTGAGGATTTTTGCTTTCGAAATCAATCATAAAATTCAAGGGCCCGACATATCGGAAAGCGTAGCCCTAATGAAAAGAAGATGTACTGATTGATGCTTATTATTTTCCGTTATAATTTCAGTAGCCGTTAACTACGAAGAACATTTTACACGCTATTTAGTAATTATAAATAATCAAATAATAAAACAATAAAAATAGGACAAACATCTGCAACTTCCAAGCACTATGATATTTTTAAAGAAATGCTTTCTGAAAGTACGAATATAACGCCAGTTTATTCGTGTTCTTCACAATATACTCGTATTCAATAGGCTCGTGCATCATGTATACTTCTACGCCACCTCACATCTACATTAATCAAAACCATCGGCATTACACAATCCTTGTAAAACTAAAGTATAATATTATTTTTATATTAACTTAAAAAAATGAAGTTAACTTAAAACTGATAGAGTTGCTCATACTGTAAATGTGATATTGTTTAAGTATAAGTATACTGTCATTATAATTATATTAATAATCTATTTAATAATTGAGGTATTTATTGTTCAATATCTATTTTTAATTGATTTTCTTTTGATTTTACAAATATGAGGATGTCATGACTTTAATAAGTTACGTAGGAATATTGAATCTACATTTTGAATTTAATCTATATGAATTAGATACTTTTTATTAAACAAACTGATGAACAATGAACACAAATAAACTGGTGTGACATTCGCACTTTTAGCCCGCTTCTTTTCTTCAAAAATATCGTAGTGCTTGAAAGTTACAGGTGCTTGTCTAGTTTTATAGTTTTGATCTTTGACTTTCTTGTAATTACTAAATATGGTGTGGAAATTCGGATAAAAAATATACATCTAAATTACTTACAAATAACCTATCCAATTTTCGTTAGTTAATCTGTTATGTTTTTCCAAACAATAGGTTTACCCGCTCTATGGAATTTCTTATATTCAGCAAGTAAATCTATTTCAGCGAGATTATTAAAAATCTTGTTTAATTTCGGTTTGACTGCAACTAACATATTCAGTTCAACTTCATATTCAGAAACTTCATATTTGTAATATTTATTACTGTCGATAGATACAGAACTTACATAATTATTGCCACTTTTTCGCAGCAAAAATGCTTTTATATAATTTAGTCCGTTGTCGTCTTCATTACTGGTTAAAAGATCACCAACAACTTCAAACACAAAATTATAATTCACTTGTAAATTTAATGATGATACAGTAATAACGTTTTCCTGTTCATTTACTTATTGCCTAACTTGTTTTTTCATTTTCCGTCTTTACAAATTAGTATTATTAGTAATCAATGTCAACCAAGTAAACAGTATAATTGCGTGGATTTTCCACGAGCTGTCCGCCTATTTCTGAAAATAATGTTACTTAATAATACTAAATTCTTAGTGTATTTGCCTCATAGAAACTCACAATAAATAGGATAAATCTTGAGAATACGTTCTGATTTGGGCTCTATTTAATTGTGATAGTAAGCATGACTATAAGGATGATCAGGTTTGAGTAAACATTGCATTGCACCAGGCGCCGATCATAATTGTGTTTGGGCGTATGAAATAATATATACAAAAGAATAAAAATAATAAATCAATTGATCTAATAACACTCGCGCAATTTAGTTTTTATGTTGAGTTTAGGTTCCGCTCACTATGTGTTTGAAAAATTGTATTAAGTTGAAACGGTTTTTCTAACTATTTTTCTTTAAATTATCAATATATTTATCATTTTTATTAACTTGCCATTTTCTTTTTTCATATTTCATTTTTCCTTGATTCACTCACGTAATTTCACGTGCATAAACCTAATATAATAAAGTTGATCCAGGTCAGCTTACAATTACAGTGTCGTCGAATTAAAAAATGGCTAATACTGAACGAGCAAATAATAATCGAACGTAATCATTATTTATCCATTCGGTTAACAGGGAAAATTCCAAGTCAGCTGGTTAACTAATGACAAATACTTAACCAAAGGCTCATTGGTTTTGGATACTTGGATAGAACCATTGATAGGTATCGACGTAGCAATCATTTACAACAATAGTTTGATTCTTGACAATAGCCTGTCTCTGACTGCTTGTTGGACACATCATACAAATCAAAGTTATAAGTTGTCCGGTCGATATTCGAGTGAAGCTATAGAAATGGAAATGAAGCAGCCCGCCCAACCACAGCTATTGAAGTTTAGAGGGGAGTTCTTGGAGCTCGAGCGAGATCTTTATCAAGTGAATGGCAACTTGACAAGTCCTGATGCTTCGACAGCATTTCACATTATTAGCCAAATTCGATTGGAAAACGGCACACTGTCTTCAATTGAAGCGTGCATCACGAGTACTGAAGAAGCATTCACGGTAAATCCTATTAAGCTAAGGCTATATAGAGAGAAGTATGGACTGAATTTCGAACTGGATAGCGCGAATGTGAGCGCTAGTCTTCAGATGAATCTCATCAACACTTTTAACTGGGACTTGCGCAGTAAGCTTATACAAGTGCAGCAAGCTAAGGCCAGCAACGTATATAGCTTTGTTACCTTCATGAACGTCCAGGTTAACGGTAACACTAGCCTCTATATGCAACTAGACGCACCCTGGGAGCGACTGCAGAGATTGATGCTAGACGGAAATCTGCTTCTCGACAGCCAAACAGGAAATGTACGCTTCAAGCATCAACTCAATCAGGAGTCTGCCCAGTTAGCTTTTGCCTGGCGGTTTTTCTATATGTCAGATATGCTGGCTCATCTATGCGTTGGTTATCAGCGTTTAGGATTCAGCGTCAACGATTTCGATGTTTTGGTCTTCTATACGAATCCACAGAGAACCTTTAAAAGCCTCGGACTGGGTTTTGATGTAAATTTTGATCGCGATCAGTGGCGCTTTGCTACTAATGCCACGGTTGGTGTCCAGGATTATAATAATATTGACGTCTTGCTTAAAGTTAAAGTGCCGCCGCCAGACAACGATACTCATAGTTTACTGATTAGCTACCACGCCAATGACGATCGCAGAAATTTGCGCTATATTGTTGGCTATAACTCCGATCTCGCCAAATATAACTATGCATCTGATGGCACGGTAAGACTATATCATATATTTACTTTATTGTCAAAGCTACCGCTAAAAATTGTTTTTACGCATCTATTCCTCGCTATACTCAATTTGTTTATCAATTAACTTATTTGTTGTAACGATTCAAACCTCTCGAAATTACGATTTGCTGTTATTTAGTTAATGATGAACTTAAACGACATCAACGGGCATTTAAAATTGACGTGGGGTCTACGGCCGGATCAAACGCTCAACAACTTATTCAACATCAGTTTTGCCAGTAAAGATATCGATTTTAAGTACTCGCTCTATACGCCAAAGTTTCTGCAACAAGAAACGCTTCTACTCTACTTAAAGTACGATGATAAACACAGTAAGCATACTTTTATTGGCGCAAACCTGCATTATCCTGGTCAGAAGCGCATTGGCTCTGCTAATATTTATTACCAAAGCTTAATCAACGTTAACGGCACTATCGATGCTTCGACCCCTCTTCTTAATTTTGGACAGGTCGGCTGCAAATTCATTGTTATGACTACCTTGTGAGTTTGATTATCATCTATATACAGTGCCCGGCACGTACTTTTGCCCACCGTGAGGCGAAATTTGCCAAACTTTAAAGTTTTATATCTAAACAAGAAAGAGTCGTAGAATATAACACTTCACGCCATTTTAAAGGTAATAGCAAAAGCTTTAAGTAACGTGAATATAATATTGTTTGTACTAGAATTAAGTTTTTTATGCTTAAAAAATGAACATAAAATTTTTTTTTGTCCATATACGAGGTGTGATCAAAAAGTAAGGTGAATTTTTATTTTTCTCAAAAAATATTTATTTATTCATCAATTTTTATTTTATCTCCTTCAAAGTAATCCCCCTCGGATATAATGCACTTGTGCCAACGCTTTTTCCAATCCTCAAAGCATTTCAAAAAATCATTTTTTGTGATCTTGTTTAGTTCATCCTTCGATGCCGTCTTTATCTCCTCAATCGTGGCAAAACGCCGTCCTTTCATGGGCCTCTTCAGTTTTGGGAACAAGAAGAAGTCACAGGGGGCCAGATCTGGGGAATACGGTGCCTGTGGCATTGTTACTGTGTTGGTTTTAGCCAAAAATTCGCGCACAAGCAACGATGTGTGAGCAGGGGCGTTATCGTGGTGCAAAAGCCAATTTTTATTTTTCCACAAATTCGGACGTTTCTGGCGGATTGCTTCGCGCAAATTGCGCATAACTTGCAGATAATATTCCTTATTTACTGTTCTACCTTGTGGCAAGAACTCATGATGCACCACGCCCCTGCAGTCAAAGAAAACTGTAAGCAAAACCTTTACATTTGATCGAACTTGGCGTGCTTTTTTTGGTCTTGGTGATCCAGAATGCCTCCACTGGGACGATTGAGTCTTAGTCTCGACGTCATAACTGTATACCCATGTTTCGTCACCTGTTATAACCCTGTTGAGTAAATCTGGATCATCGTTGACGTCATTCAGTAGCTCTTGGGCGATGCTCATGCGACGTTTCTTTTGGTCGAAATTGAGCAATTTCGGAACAAACTTCGCTGACACACGTCTCATGTCTAAAACACTCGTCAAAATTGATTGGCACGAACCAAATGAGATGCCAATATCATCAGCAATTTCTCTAATGGTAATTCGACGATTTCCCAACACTATTTTCTTCACTTCTTCAACATTCTCATCAGTTGTTGATGTGCTGGGGCGTCCAGAACGAGGTTCGTCGTCGGTGTCTTCTCGGCCTTCTTGGAAGAGTTTATACCACTTGTAAACATTTTTTTGGCTTAAAGTAGACTCACCGTATGCCTCTGTTAACATTTCAAGTGTTTCGAAGCACTTTATTTTATTTTTTACACAAAATTTGATGCAAACTCTTTGATCCATGTTTTTAGACAGCAGCAAATCGTGGAGCACGCAAAACACTTCTAACCTCGATGCCTCTCACAAACAAACGAAACATACTACAAAGCTGAAATTTGGAACGTATGTTCTAGACGAGTGTACCGACATAACCAAATAAAAAAGTCGAAGATCGAACGCACGTAGCCAGCTAAATTTCAAAATTCACCTTACTTTTTGATCACACCTCGTACAAATTTATTTATCTGCTACGCAAATCAGCGGATCATTAAAAATTTTTTATGTTTATTTTTCAAGCATAAAAAACTTAATTCTAGTACAAACAATATTATCTTCATGTTACTTAAAGCTTTTGCTATTACCTTTATAATGGTGTAACGAAAGCTCGTTCGTTATCAATTTTAAAGGTGGGCAAGTGAGGCGTACTCACTTACAGCAATCAAGGCGGCAAGGGGGGGGGGGGAGGTAAAGAAATGAAAGTAATTAAGAAATTTACGCACACAACAAAATAAAATCGCATTCAAATCAAAATCTAATCTAATCAAAATCAAATCAAGTCAAATTACACTTATCTTCAAATACTGCACATGAACAAACCGTATAATTATATAAACTCTTAACCTAATGAACACAATGGTGTTACAAACACGTCTTAACAATATCGAACACAATGATGTTCTTAACACCTAATACAATACAAGAACAATGAACAAATTAACTAACTTATCGCGCTTATTAATCTAACCGACATACAGCACGCATCGCCCGGCAGGTGACCGCCATGACGACGAACCGACTTAGCCTATTTAAACTAAAGAGAAAGCCGCCCGGCGAGGGATCGCCTTGACGGTACTCTACCTGAACAAATTTATGATGCCGGCCGTAATTAAGGCATATAGCCGGCTCGTGTACGCCTTGCTACCTACCTGACTCTAACAACTACCCGCTGTGCCATACCGCTAAAGAGGAAGAAAGAGAGAAAGAAAAAAATTAGATTACGAGCCTTGAACTTCGATGCAGAAACGGGCGGCCTGGCTGCGCCCTACGGATGATGTTGCTGACCGTTGCTGGGCAACTCTTGCCGGCTCCTCCGGGTAGCGTCCTAAGCAGATGCTGGAATAAGGCACTCGTCCTCTTTTCCTCTCGGCTTCTTCTCGGCTCCTTGGCGGCGTGTGCGTTCGGCTGACCTTTTTGCTCTCACTGCACCTTCAACTCTGCACCCCTGACTGACTAAACCGTCTTGACTGCTGATCGACTAACTACCGTCTGTACCTCTAATCGACTGGAAACCTTCTTTCGCTCGTTCGCTTCCGCAATCGACAGCTTCTTCCTCGTTCTTTCTCTCCCTACTTGACCTACTTATTAAGCGGCGCGTGACCAATGCACTAATTGGTTCGCGACGCGCGCCTGCCTAATTCTGCGTGGGGCACGTACGCCCCTAACTCTCTCTCTCTTTCTCTTTCTAACACCTATATACTTTGTTGTTCATTTGACGACTTTGGGCCGGCTCGGCCTCGCTCGGCAATCTCCGTCAGCTGAAACAAAGACCATGCATTAGGCGCATTCTTAAATGCGCCTAACGCTAGTCACCGTGCCGTGACGAGAGAAGGGCAATTGGGGAAAATACCGACGAGAACAAGCGCATCGCTTGCTCTCGTCACAATGGCGTCAAAGTTTTTATTCTACGACTCTTTTTCGCTGAGATATAAAACTTTAAAGTTAGGCAAATTTCACCTCAGGCTGAGCAAAAGTACGTATCGAGCACTGTAATTGACAACTGGAAGAACTAGAAAGAGGGTTTGAATTCAAGATGTAATAAAATTAAAATATTTTTTTATAGAAAGCAGAACAAACGCTTGCTAGAAGTATATTGGCAAAATAACACGGCTTTATTGGATTCGGACTACATTTATAATAGTCAGAGACTGGACTCAACACTGGACGGTCATGTGCGCATTGAAATACCTTTAAACACGAGACACATTGGCTTCTTTACCTACGGCTATAAAAAGAAGCCACTACAGACCACTGGCCATTTCGAGTTGATTTATAACAAAGACAAAATCATAGAAGGTCGCTACATAGAAAAAAGTGAAGCACGAGCCGGATTTGAACGTGACCACATCAATATTACCATAGAGAATTGGTTGAAACCTATTGGGATAGCGTACATCAATCAGTATGAATACAGCGCTGGAAACGAGGGCACTAACTATCCGTCGATCGAGTACAAAGAGGTTAGTACTAGCTAATCCAAATCGGTGAGTTAAACAGATACTCATTACATGATGGACTTCACCATTGTATATTGTAGGTGAACGTATACCAGCTGCACAATGAAAGCGCATTCAATGTGTCGGGAAGTTCAAGAATACGAACGACGCATAGCGGTCAAGAGTTCGAGCTAAGCGCTGTACACTCGAATCGTACGATCAGGTTGCGTGCAGATTACAATGTTATTCCAGGTGAATTTCAGCAGATGGTCTGGTTCAGCTTAGCCAAAGATGCCTGGATATCGTACCACCTGCGCATCGTCAACCGAAGTAATGTGCAGTTGGAAGAGCAGATGATGGTGCTGAGTCTGCTGTATCCGAGACGAAATTTTACCCTCGATGCCTCGTACGCACTAAGCACCTCAGAATTGCAAAGTGAGGCGCGGCTCACATGGATGAGCCATGGACTAGAGGATAACGCTGATGAACGCGATGACTCGGTACCATGCTGGAAGACCGTGGGCGCGGCCTTCAACTGGAGTAATAGTAGTTCCGAGTTCGGCATTGCTCAGCATCGTGCTGTGCTGAGCCTCCGACATCCGAGCTTTAAGAGCGACGTGCGCATTGAAGGCCGGTCAACTCGACGTTCCATCCACGAACTACTCAACCTCGGACTCAGTGTCGATTACTCAAATGAACGCGCCCGGCTGCTTAATCTGAGCGCCTTAGTGCGCGACGAGAGCAGATCAGCAGCAGGAGAGCGCTGTTACAGCTACGTGATTGGGGGTATCCATCCCACCACCCAGCTACAGCTAGATGTACACGGTCATGCGCGCAAGGTAAAAGCTCTGCTGGTTGAGATCTTCAATGAGGGGCAGTACAAGCGCAGCTTCCTACCGGAAGAAACAGGTCAGCTGATGGCTCGCCTCGACCTTACCGACAGTGAACTTGAGCTCAGTCGAGTTAGTAATGAACACCTGCGCCACCTCCACCTTCGCTTCTATCCTGACTATCCGGAGTACCGAATCAACGGTAGTGCAATCAACGGCCGTGAATTTAACGCCACTGGCTCTCTTTTATTCAACCTCCACGATAAGCTCGTCTTGATGATGCTCAATTACACTCCAGGTGAGTGCATGACCTTATAATATTAACTTATATTGCTATTAACTCAGTTTCTCCTTAATCTCATCTTCTACCGATACTCATGCGCTCCTCGTTAAATTGTAGATGCTGTTGAAAGTCTGAGGATGTATGGAAATGTACCGGACGCAAGAAATGCCGAATTTCAGATCTGGCGCACTTACGATCAGGACTTGACCGTCTCCGATGTCTCTTTTTACGTGAGGCTTAATCATTCAAGGCTTGTCACTTCAAGACTCAAATGGAGACCCCAGCTAAAATCTGATATTCTAGTGAGTAATTATTGATTGATTCATCTTGTTGAGATTCACTTCAACTATAAGTAGTACGATTCTCTATAGTCAATCTTTTTGTTGTCTAGAATCTCATCAAAACTACTTTGTCAAACTCTTATGAAGAGTTTGTCAGGGACGTCGACTATTGGAAGCACTATATACGCAGTGAAACTGCTAGCGTGATATCGGACATCTGGGCAGACGCTCAAAATGAGCTTGAAGAGTTTTTGAACGATCTCAAGTAAGCGAGCAACATATACATACGAATTAACCATTGTTTATCATTTGTCGATGATGTATCTGTTATTTAACTTGTCTTGTTTTTTTTAATTTTTTCAATTGTCAAATCAAAAGTGAACTACGAATTATCGAGAATGACTTTGAGAAACTGAAATTGTATTTGAATAATTCATACAATGCCAACGACTTCTACATAAAAGATATCATACTCATGGGCGTCTACGTCATCGACGAGTTGTCGTTGCGTAGCCATATTCAGTCACTGCCGAAAATTATCAATGAGATATGGGAAATAATGGGTGAATCAGGTGAAGTCATCCGTAACTCACTTCTTTGGATCATTGAAACTATTAAGAACGCTTACCAAAAAATCTCGGAAATTATCAGCGCGGTGTTGCGCGGAGATTCGATGAATCAAATTGCGAACATTGTGGAGAAGTTCATCGTCAAATATGACATGTTTATCAAGGAACTGCACGTGTCCTTCATTAAGTACGTGGAGTACTTGTACGATCAAATTTATCAAACGATTTCACTTCAGGTAGGTTGATCGTTCAAACAACGGAATTGTCGTTCAGTTCCTGTTCAAACTTATCAATCCCGAAGCTTCAATTTTCTACCTATTATTGCAGTGGCACCGCTTTCTTATGCACATCGAGCCTGCTTTTATTCGGCTGGCTCACTATCTTGAGACAATGGGCTGGAAAGCGATTCAAGAGTTTTTCAATTTTTTGTACGATCGTAAAATTGAACTGATCAGCTCGCCTTACTACGATCACCTGTCCAACTTCACTCAGGATATCGATAAATTTTACCGCGATATCAAGGCTAACGACATTGTAACTAATGTGCAGAAATACTCAACGGCATTTGTACAATTTATCCGAGAACGCTACTTTGCTTTTGTGCCATTTGGTAAAGAACTGAAAGACGTATTTGAGGAGATTATCAATGAATTGAAGGAGTTACGCAAGCTACCATCGGTCAAGTATACAGTGGAGAAGCTTGAGCAGGCCTACGAACGCACGATATATCTTTGGCAGTATTTCGAAGTCAGAGTTAAACTGGAGAATGGCCTTCGCCTCTTACATGCTAAACTTATGGATATCAGTCAGACGGCTCTGCAAGCAGAGTCGAGATATCGTGAGGCCAAGACTAAGTTTATCTATGACCCTAATAATGGCCTCATGTGTCTGGAGCAAAAGCTGCCTATGTCCTGGCATGCTTTCAATCAAACACCCGAATTTCAGGAAATACCCGAGTATAGAGCCATACGAGATACGGGCTCTTACTTTGCCGCCTCTAACACCACTTTTTGGACCCTTTACTATCAATTTAAGCCTTTCACCGAACCTTCCAACTGGCTGCCCCCTTTTCGAGGTAAATCATTTACGTTGATTAGGTGTCAATATCCCCTGCATTTCCACAACTACTTCTTATCTTATAACGATAATTTATGAGTTCTTATTTTACCATTTATTAAGTCGTAATATTAGAAATGAAATCGTATTGAATCTATTTAATTTCATGCTCTAAACATTTACTTATTCCACTATTTTTCTTCTACCGCGTCATTATAATTTTTTCAATTTGAAACCAGCAACAATTTCATGCTACGCGGATATTTAGTATAAAATAGTTTTGACTACGTCAAATTTTATACTTATATTGAAGCTAAAATAGTCTGGAAACGAATAATAATTTTTGTCTGTTTAGGAATTTAGATATATTATATTAGTTTTATAATTCAGAAAAGTTGAATATTATCATCAAACAATAGAATGTTAATATAATTAATATATGATAATATTTGACTTTGATAGTCAATGACTGTCAAAGAAACGTTTTGATGGCAGTTTATTATTACTATATGCTAAATCTCAAAAGATCAAACGTTTTAGTTGTCAAAATTGATATTTTATTTATTCTAGATTATTTAAAATAGAGTTTAATGTAATCAATGTTTTTTCATCACAACTGGTAATGGCAACTCACTTCACCCCGACTCTAGCCTCGGTTCCATTGTTTCAGCACCTATATTTATAACGTTAATCTTAGTAAGTATTAAAATTTCAATGATAGAGAGCTATCTTAAAATAAATACAAATAGCTATCTAATTTGCAAAATCAACGTTTCGCTGACTATGTTCGTCAGCCTCATCTGGGTACCTTTTTATTAAACAAAAATAAATATTACCAACATTAAAAATTGTATAAAATCAAGTCATACAAACACAAATACAAAACAAAGATGAACACTCACATAAATATGTATAATTAGTACATAAACAAAAATTACTTTGCATAAATTCTCACAACATCTACAAAATTTTACAAAAATTAAATAGATCAAGAGAAATAAATTTGTCTCTCCTGATCATTTTAAGAGTAACAGTTATTCATATAATACGTTATACACAGTTAACTATACAGTATCTATACAATGACTGGTGTATACATGAATATGATAATATTAAGTGAGTAAGCAATTGTCATATCGTAATATTGTCATATTCATGTATAAACGTATAGTATAAATTTATTTCTCTTAATCTATTTAATTTTCATAAAATTTTGTATATGTTATAAGCATTTATGCACAGTGATTTTTGTTTATGAATTAATTATATATGTTTATATGACTGTTCATCTTTCTTTTGTTAGTGTTTTTTTTATATGACGTGATTTTAGACAATTTTTAAGGTCTGTAATACTTATGTAACGTCTAGTAGTTAATCACAGACCTGTGCTTAGATCTCCACTAGAGTCTAGGAAACAGAAAGATCACAAAACTGTGCTTAGATCTCTCGTATTTTCCATAGTTCTCAGGACTGGCGAGGTTGTTTCTCAAGTTCCTTTTTCTACAAGTTAATCGCAGTTAAGCGCCTTTCAAAACTTATAATTAATGGTCGCATAGGAAGAATAGAGTACCGATTTTCAAGCTACGAGCGTCCAAAACTTATGCCTAGACATCGTTGCTTTTCACTTCACCAAGCTCAAACCTGTGCTGATCAAGGTAAAGTAAATAGATATAATTCGTGAATGTCTAATTAAAAGAGATAGCTTTTTGAGGAGAACTAGAAATTATTTAAGATAGATACTAACTTTTTATTTTTTATTCCTTTCCACTGATTCGATTTTTTAAGTTTTTCTAAGCTTTGCGCACTTATTTTCTATTTTTAATTTTTATTTGGATTCTTCGAAGAATTGGCTGGGTTCTCTTTCTGCTGCTCGGCTTCTTAGTTTTTTGGCGGCTGAGGGCTGTTGGCTGCTTGGTAATGGAACTCCATAGTGAGCTCTCTAGTGCCTCTTCCAGGGGCGCGCACGGCCTTTTAAACCCTCGGGAAGTGGTAGGCGGAAAATCCCTTCTTCGGGCCCATGCTGCAGGAGACTATGAAGTTAGTTCCAATTTTCCGGATTGATCTTCCGATTTTCTTATCCAAAATTAGAATCCTAATTAGCAGGAGGGCGTGATTTTTCCGGAGAGGTCAGGGCGTGACTTCGTAAACTTGAGCCTGTTCTTCGAGAGATGGCTCCTCAAGTATCGTTTTCTTATGTTTCGTTATGTCTTTATTAATAACAATATGTACAAACATTTTACATTATTTAACTATGAAAAACTTATTTCAATTTATAATTATAACGGAATATGTCAATACAAGTCAAAGAATTATTCTTTGCATAGCAAATAGGTAGTTTACAACGTTTCTCTTATAATTAACGAATATTAAATGGTAAAAGAGACTTAATTTGTCTAAACTATGTCATTTCGATTGATATTTGAACATTATTTTAATACAATTATTTTACTTAAAAATATACACAAAAGTACATAAAAAGGCATATATTTATACGAGGTGTGATCAAAAAGTAAGGTGAATTTTTATTTTTCTCAAAAAATATTTATTTATTCATCAATTTTTATTTTATCTCCTTCAAAGTAATCCCCTTCGGATATAATGCACTTGTGCCAACGCTTTTTCCAATCCTCAAAGCATTTCAAAAAATCATTTTTTGTGATCTTGTTTAGTTCATCCTTCGATGCCGTCTTTATCTCCTCAATCGTGGCAAAACGCCGTCCTTTCATGGGCCTCTTCAGTTTTGGGAACAAGAAGAAGTCACAGGGGGCCAGATCTGGGGAATACGGTGTCTGTGGCATCGTTACTGTGTTGGTTTTAGCCAAAAATTCGCGCACAAGCAACGATGTGTGAGCAGGGGCGTTATCATGGTGCAAAAGCCAATTTTTATTTTTCCACAAATTCGGACGTTTCTGGCGGATTGCTTCGCGCAAATTGCGCATAACTTGCAGGTAATATTCCTTATTTACTGTTCTACCCTGTGGCAAGAACTCATGATGCACCACGCCCCTGCAGTCAAAGAAAACTGTAAGCAAAACCTTTACATTTGATCGAACTTGGCGTGCTTTTTTTGGTCTTGGTGATCCAGAATGCCTCCACTGGGACGATTGAGTCTTAGTCTCGACGTCATAACCGTATACCCATGTTTCGTCACCTGTTATAATCCTGTTGAGTAAATCTGGATCATCGTTGACGTCATTCAGTAGCTCTTGGGCGATGCTCATGCGACGTTTCTTTTGGTCGAAATTGAGCAATTTCGGAACAAACTTCGCTGACACACGTCTCATGTCTAAAACACTCGTCAAAATTGATTGGCACGAACCAATTGAGATGCCAATATCATCAGCAATTTCTCTAATGGTAATTCGACGATTTCCCAACACTATTTTCTTCACTTCTTCAACATTCTCATCAGATGTTGATGTGCTGGGGCGTTCAGAACGAGGTTCGTCGTCGGTGTCTTCTCGGCCTTCTTGGAAGAGTTTATACCACTTGTAAACATTTTTTTGGCTTAAAGTAGACTCACCGTATGCCACTTTCAGCATTTCAAGTGTTTTGGAACATTTGATTCCATTTTTCACACAAAATTTAATGCAAACTCTTTGATCCATGTTTTTAGACAGCAGCAAATCGTGGAGCACGCAAAACACTTCTAACCTTGATGCCTCTCACAAACAAACCAAACATACTACAAAGCTGAAATTTGGAACGTATGTTCTAGACGAGTGTACCGACATAACCAAATAAAAAAGTCGAAGATCGAACGGATGTAGCCCGCTAAATTTCAAAATTCACCTTACTTTTTGATCACATCTCGTATGTCTATATATCGAGGTTCTAAGTATATATAATAGTTATATAATATAATAGTCTTATAATAGTTAATGCAGTTACTTTTTGAGTTTAAATGTTTATGTTAAACTATTAGATTATTTCTATTTATTTGACGAGAAAATACAAGGCAGAGTTTAAAGTAATATAGTATAGTTAGTATTAGTGGTAAACTTTACAAGTTTGTAAAGGGTAATTTAGCCAATTTTAATATTGTACTGTCAGTTTTTACAATTGTCTTTTGAAACATGCTTTTTAACAAAAATAGTTTCATGTTCTTTATGCTACAAATAAAAGGAAAAGTTTCGAGGAAAAACTTTTGATAAACAGGATACAGATTACGTTTTATTGCTTTCAGGCCCGGCAGGAAGGCTGGAGATCGAGAGATATAAAGCATGCCAGTTAGTGGCGACTAATGCGTATTTTATGGAGAGGTTGTTTTTATATAGGTTTCTGAACATCTTTTCTAAGCTCTAACCTGCGATTTTCGTTTTAAAACTCTGAGTAATATTAACAAGTATGAGGTTAACAAACGTAGTTAGCGAAATGTTAGTTTTACAAATTAGATAGTTGTTTATATTTATTTGAGGAAAGAATGACTCTATATCAAAATTTTAATTCTAACGAAGATATCACGGAAAGTGAATATATAATTATAATGTATAAGGTTATAATTATATATTATAATTATAACATAAGTCATTATGATTACTGGTATAATAATTAAATTGTTTATGAATTTGTTCATTTTTTTTGTACCGTGAATTTTCAAATATATAATCCTTACACTGCCCGTCAATCATAATATGCCAATTTAGAACCAGGCGGTGTAGGGCAAATCGACCTAAGGGGTTCAGAGGGTCTTTCCCTTTAAAATGAGCTCCCGCGGGGTTCTATCCGATGTTTTTTAACCGAGTTACGGCGTTTTTTGTAAAAAGCAACCTTTTTTTCCAATCCTCAATTACTTCGACTTGCGTACGTTTTGGAAAAAAATGCCAAAGAGAAAAAATTTTATTTCAGTTTTTTAGCGCATTAAAAAAATAAAGGAATTTTACTTTTTTTTTATGCTTAGTTTTAGTTTTTTTGTGATTTACTACGTCCCTAGACATTTTAAAACTAAACGTAAAAAAAAGTTAAATTCCTTTATTTTTTTAATGCGCTAATAAACCGAAAAAAAAAATTTTCTCTATTTCTTTATTTTGACTTTATTTTCGTATTCTTGAACACAAAATGAAACTTTTTTCTCTTTGGCATTTTTTTCCAAAACGTACGGAAGTCGAAGTAATTGAGGATTGGAAAAAAAGGTTGCTTTTTACAAAAAACGCCGTAACTCGGTTAAAAAACATCGGATAGAACCCCGCGGGAGCTCATTTTAAAGGGAAAGACCCTCTGAACCCCTTAGGTCGATTTGCCCTACACCGCCTGGTTCTAAATTGGCATTGATTTAAGTCGAGGTTAAAAAAATTGAAATTTTTTTAATCAGTTTTTTTACTGTAAAAAACACATATTTTCATTTTTAAGTCTCTGCACATCTTAAATGGAAGCTTTTGCAATTACCTTTAAAATGCCCTGCGGTTTTTTGTGATACGATGATTTCCGACCGAGATACAAAACTTTCAAGTTTGCCCAATTTTGAGGCAAGCATGGCAAAAGTAATTGACGGGCTGTGTATCTGATTGTAAATAAATTGTTTAAAAACTCGCATCATAGAGATGCATACGCGTACACACACACACATATTGTTAGTTGTTAGGTATATTTGAACACACATATTAACTGACAATTTCGGCTGTTTGAATACATATAAAAATAAATTAATAGTAAATTCTAATTACAGCTCAAGCAATGATAGTAGGTTCAAATCACTTTCGAACCTTCGATGGTTATCATTTTGACTTCGCTGGTAATTGTACGTATCTGATGGCGCGGGACTTCGTACATGACCATTTTGCTGTCCTCATCAAATATGACTCGGCGAGTCCGATTCTTAGGCATAAAATTATCGTTCTTGTGGGCAATCATGCTATTGAGCTTGATGTATTTCAAAATGTTAGTATTGAAGTTAATTGCGAGAGTTAATGGAAGAAATTTAGGTGTATAGCTTATCAATTGCGTTATGGTTTTCATCGTTGCAGAGCGTGAGATTGCTAGGGGAAAAGCAAACACCACAACTCCCTTTGGAGCTCGATCAAGGTAGAGTATTCGTCTACCAGGAGGATAGCATTGTAAGTGTAGAGCGGGCAGATAGGCAATTCAGGCTTGAGTGCAATCTTAAGTACGAACTGTGCCGACTGGAGTTGGCCGGCTGGTATTATGGAAAAACGGCTGGATTGTTGGGCACAATGTCAAATGAGCAATGGGACGACTTACTGTCATCCGAGGGTCGTCGTGAAAATAACATTCAGCGATTTGCCCACAGTTGGACTCTTAGAGATATGGATGGACACTGTAAACCGTGGAGCAATTTAAACTATTTGGCCGAGGCTAAATTTACTCGGCCCTTACAAGAATCTTTCTGCCACCGATTTTTCGCCAACAAGAGCAGCGAATTTAGTTCATGTTTCGGTCTGGTGGATCCTCAACCATTTGACAGAATATGCACGTCGAGCTTAAGTTCGCGTGAGACATGTGCCTTGGCCGTCGGCTATCTACAGAGTTGCGCTTTCCACGATACTTACCTGCGCATCCCCGACGTTTGCACCAACTGCATCATAGAAAGCCGCGACGATCAGAGCACTAGTGTACCCGAAGGCGATTTCCGCAAACTAGAGGGTAATTTATTTTGAACTTCCTTACTTGATCACATTCACATTCGCGTTCGAACGTACACATAGGTAATAGTTCCATTTAAATGAATTTTTTAACTACTATAAGTTTGCTTAATTGTTATGCATTTAAATGTCGAAATTAAGTCGAAAGTAAATGCATTTTTAATTTAGCTTTCTTAGCTGCTTGCAATCATCGCGATTTTGTTTAATTGCAGGAGAGATGGTACCTCTTGGAACAGACGTGGTATTCATCGTGGAAGTCAAGAAGTGTAATCAAATGCTCGAATCCGGACTAGAGCAATTGGTTTCGCACATGAGTAAGGAATTGATCGAAAGTGGATTGAGTAAGGTACGCTGGTCGCTGGTGGCATTCGGTGGCGTTGGCGTCTGGGAACGACCTCGTAGCCTCGTCCTCAACAACGAGATTTTCACGACCGACCCACAGCGATTTGCAAAACGCTATTTTGCGCGGCTGTTACTTGCCATTACCAACAATAACATGGAAACCGAGCATTCAATCGCCAGTGAAGACGTATTCGAAGCAATCCGCTTTGCTGTTCAGTTAGTTTTCCGCGCGGGCGTCTCTAAGACGTTTGTGCTACTGCCCTGTTCCCATTGCGAGCCCGATAAGCAAAATGTAAGTTGTATAATATAATAACTTATGCTCGAGCGGTAGACTAAATAATTGCTAATAAGTAAATAATAAATTATCATTTTCACAGCTTGACTATTCGGTACTGTACCATGCACTACAGGAACGCGGTATAACTCTACACGTCCTTATGCCCGGTGAGTTCCAGTTTGAGAGAGACGCTGCTGGCTCAGCCTCGATGACTCGACTTAGCAAACTTTTTTATGGGCTAGATGCTAGTCTTTCATATACCAAGAAAGACTGGCGTATGCTAAGTGGTAACCCCGAGCTAAGACGACAAGTCAAATTATCACGATCTAAGCTGGGTTACTGTGCACCTCTTGCTCTTGAGACAAACGGCACGATTTTTAGTGCTACCAAGCTCAGACTTACAAAACTTGGAGCTCTCAAGAAATTCCTCGCAGTGTTTGCCAAACGACTCGTTCTTACCGCCCGGCCCAGCAATTGTCAGCTTTGCGAGTGTATTGCCAACAACGACGCCCTCACCAGGATGGAATGCTCGCCCTGCGACTATCCGATACCTCCGGCCATGCTCAATTTCACCGTCAGTATACCAAGCATACTTTCATTCTTATAAATAATCTCATTTTTATTCTAATTTATCCAAATACGCACGAAATATAAACTATTTCATGGGTTTCTTCTGGCTGTATCGTGAGATATTTAGGGCATAATATTTTTAAAACTATTGCTATATATTAAAAACATTGTTTAATACCCAGTATGTCTTAAATTGAAATCGATAATGAAATGTGAAATATTATTTATTTTTAAATATTCAACAATAATATAAGCAGTTAGCATCCTACAAGTTTTTAGTATTGAGCAGATTTTTCTCTATAAATTGCGTTTATAGTACTGAACAGCAACAATTACTCTGTAGTTTCATCAATCTTATCTGTTTATTAGAAAACAAAAATTTTTTTTAATACAGAAGAATTACAATATGCTGTGACAATTTTACTACAGTACATTAAAATTTTTTATTTTAGCAATATAAAACTATCTTATCAAATAATGAAAAATAGTGGAATATAAGCTCTATAGTATTAAGTTAACAACAGTTTTACATAGATTCTTTAGCACTTAGACTTTATGAACTTTTTATGTGCAATTCTAAAAGGTTACCTTAACCCAAGTGGCAAACGTCCATGGCTGCAATGCTTCGATTTGACATTATGCCATTCGTACAATTCTCAATAGATTTGGATGAAATTTGGTTTCCTTATATTTTAGTGTATGCTCTTTCGAAAAATCACCAAGTTTTTTTGAAAATCTTGACAGAAAAAAAAATATGGCCGATTTTTTCGAAAAAATTCCAAATTTTTTTCAATTTTTCTCCAAATTTCGCTCTGCTGAAAAGAAATGGACCCTAAAATAGGCTCCCTAAATAATTTTTTTCGCAACATGGGACAATTATCTTTCAAGCGCATTCGACTTTATTAAAAAATGTTGATTAGAAAAAAAAATATGGCGGTTTTTGTATCGTAGTATAATTTAGAAATTCATGATTTTTTTACTCGAAAAATATCAACTTTTGAAAAAAATATTATAGAACAAAAAGTGCTTAGAAGTGGTCAAGAAACATGTGAGAATTTTTAGTAAATAATTTGGAAAATTTTTGAAAAATTGAAAATTTGAATTTCCCGAAAATCCAAAAATATTTATACTTTTTTTTGGAAGTGCTTATTTTTGCCAATTTTAAGTAAATGTATGTGTTGAAATTAAATGAAATTGATAAAAAAGCTCCTCGTGGAACTTTTAAAGTTCAATATGAAAAAAATAGCGGAATGAACTTCGTAACCGTGGTAGATTCTAAACAAGTTTCGATTATTTCAACTGCAGCTAGTGTTACACCAACAAAAGAAGTGAAACGCTACTCCAAAGAAAAAAAAATAAGAACTGACATTTCTATGCCACTTGTGTTTTCACTTTACAACTTATTTATGGGAGGTGTTGACCTACACGATCAGTACTGTAGTGCTTTATTACCTATTATTAGAAGTAAGAGATGGACTTGGCCAATATTGATGAGAATTATCCAGTCTTCTATTGCAAATGCAGTAATACTCTATAATGCTTGTTCAGGCACAAAAAAAAGTAAGCGCAAAGAAATTCGCTTTGAGTATTGTAGATAGTTATGTCAAAAACGCTAAATTAGGTGATTTGAAAAACCACAATTTGAGCCTAACTATGAGAAGAAGAGCTTGCAATGGACAAGGATGTGCTACTCGTACGTTTTACATGTGCAAAGAGTGTAAAAAGTATTATTGTAGTCAATGCTTTGCTAATTTACACAAGTAAATAATTGGTAACAAATGATTGTAAAAAAGAAATATTTCTAAAAACATAAAAATTGAATACAAAAAAATACAAAAAAAAATTACAAAATACAAAAATACAAACAAAAAAACTATTAAAGTGGAGATTTTTTAATTTAAAAAATTTTATTTAGCTGCGTAAATTCGCAAAACTTGGATTGTATTTCCGTTACATTTTCGGTTGAATTCAAATACATACCAGCCATAAAATCACTAAAAATTGTCAAAATAACATGTCTAGAGAGAAACTTAATTATTATAAAATTTTTCAAAAATTTTCAATTTTTTATTTTTAAAAAAATTTTCAAATTTTAAAAATTCTCACATGTTTTTTGACCACTTCTAAGCACTTTTTGTTTTATAATATTTTTTTCAAAAGTTGATATTTTTCGAGTAAAAAAATCATGAATTTCTAAATTACACTACGATACAAAAACCGCCATATTTTTTTTTCTAATCAACATTTTTTAATAAAGTCGAATGCGTTTAAAAGATAATTCAGTCTCATGTCGCGAAAAAAATTATTTAAGGAGCCTATTCTAGGGTCCATTTCTTTTCAGCAGAGCGAAATTTGAAGAAAAATTGAAAAAAATTTGGAATTTTTTCGAAAAAATCGGCCATATTTTTTTTTTTGTCAAGATTTTTAAAAACACTTGGTGATTTTTCGAAAGAGCATACACTAAAACATAAGGAAACCAAATTTCATCCAAATCTATTGAGAATTGTACGAATGGCATATTGTCAAATCGAAGCATTGCAGCCATGGACGTTTGCCACTTAATGGGTTAACATGGTTCATATTTTTGAGAAAAGTGAATCGGAATGCACGCTCCTAATTCCTTTGGATTTTCATTATACGGGCTGTCTCGTACTGAAAATTTATTCGGGACAATGTAGAAATGGCTCGTGTCACTCTTTTTCCGTCAACCAAAGTTTTAAAATTAATCGAAAATGCAATACAGACTCTATACCAAAGAAAGTCGATAAAAAAAGCAATACAGCACCTTCAGAAAATTATGCATATGTATTTTTATGTATTATAATCTGCCGATACCAAATCCGAAGTCAGAATAAGGCTATCGCGCTTCGTTTTTGTTTTAATTACAAAAAACTAAAAGAATTTCGAAAAATTTTCGTGAACTTTTTGAATTTAAAATAAAATGGACAGTGATAGGTTGATTCTGACCTCGGATTCAGATCCCGTAGGTTAAAATACATAGATGAACATGTCTTTAGTCTCTAGAATAAAATTACTTCTATAAGAGTTGAATGTTTTAAGAGATCAAATACTGATGGGTGACAACTCGCGCGAGGCGAGTTTGTCCTGTACGAAGGCCTGTCAACAGCCGAGCGGCCTTTGACACGAGCGGCAGTCAGGCTCTCGGGAACCCCGTCCCGTTCGCGCGTCAATAACGAAGTCTTCGTAGATTTGAATTCGGGCTCCCGATACCGCGATCGTGAGATATTCGATCGAACGTATTCGTATATATCTATCCGTAATCGGTTATATATAAAATAAGCAATAACGGGGAAGCATATGGATATACTCAAGCGCGTTTAATAGTACTTATAAAATTTATTTTATAAAGCTCAAGTACATGAATAAATGATAGAGTGAAAATAGAAAGATATATATATATGGGACGATCCATGTCAACAGGATCACTGCTGTGTCCAAAATTTGATGTGACCAAAAAAATCGAGCGAAGACTCATTTTAAAGCTTAGGATATCTACTTTCTGATGCTGTGTGCGCCTTTGCAAAATCCAACATGGCGGCTCCAATATGGCGGCTACAAGAGACAAACTCGTAAACAAAAAATTTTATTTTTCAATTTTTTAGTATTAAATGTTAAAAAAATTAATATTTCATATTTTTTTATGAAAATCTGGCTCATTTCCTACAAAAAAGTAACAGAGACCATTTTCGCTAAAATGAAAAATAAAAAAGTTTTAATTTTTTGAAAATTTTCAAAAATAAAAAACTTTGCGATTTTTTTACTCAGAAGGAAATGACTTTGGAAAAAAAATTTAAGGAACAAAATTGCTTGAAATTCATCAAAACACAAGTGTGAATTTTTTCAAATTTCTTTGAGCGATTTTTTTGAATTTTTGTAAAAGATCTTGGGAAGTTTTTTAATTTTTCAAACAATCCGATAAATCCAAAAAGCAAAAAATCGCTCAAAGGAATTTGAAAAAATTCACACTTGTGTTTTGATGAATTTCAAGCAATTTTGTTCCTTAAATTTTTTTTCCAAAGTCATTTCCTTCTGAGTAAAAAAATCGCAAAGTTTTTTATTTTTGAAAATTTTCAAAAAATTATAACTTTTTTATTTTTCATTTTAGCGAAAATGGTCTCTGTTACTTTTTTGTAGGAAATGAGCCAGATTTTCATAAAAAAATATGAAATATTAATTTTTTTAACATTTAATACTAAAAATTTGAAAAATAAAATTTTTTGTTTACGAGTTTGTCTCTTGTAGCCGCCATGTTGGATTTTGCAAAAGCGCACACAGCATCAGAAAGTAGATATCCTAAGCTTTAAAATGAGTCGTTGCACGATTTTTTTGGTCACATCAAATTTTGGACACAGCAGTGATCCGGTTGACATGGATCGTCCCATATATATAGACGCGTGTTCTTAGCCTCGCGTTGTCTATTATCTATAAACAATATGGTACTCACTTTTTTTTTTAAAATAATGTTACTGACAATCGGTCCTTTATATATTATTTCCTATTTATTGGTCCTCTCTCCTTTCTATTTCTTTTTTAAACGGATTGTAAGGTCCATCAAATGTACGCGTATATTTGTATATGTCCAATTAATACTGTAGATTAATATATTTCCTTGGTCCTAACGGCGTGAACAAATTGCCTGTATGATTGCTGTCTTTCTTTGGCTTTTATTAACACTCAAGCTCTGATGAAGTAAAATGAACTAAACTTTTAATTAGGTAAAAGAATAATACCGGATAACTCGGACAAATTAAACCAAACTAAATTTATATTTCAATTGGCGAGATAAATTCTGAATTCGGAAATATTGCGGCCTTCTTGCTCTGGCGCTCAGTCCTGACTGACTAATCCTAGCTCCGTTGTTTTCACCGGTTTATTATATATTCTTTGTCCCTCGCATTTCGTCTCTCTCTCGCACATATGCTTTTGACGTTTACACTTCTCGAATTGGCTCGTATTACTTAGCTAAGCACGCTGACTGCAGCA